GGCTGGGATGGGAATGAGTTGGCCCTAACCTGATTAAAGCCAGTGAGCTGGCTCCTGGAAGAAACACAGAGGTCTTAATGATTGGGTTGTTGTTCTTAATATGTCTAATGTTGACTCTTAAAGAAATCAAGAGAAATGTTAAGAGGTTCCTGGTATTTCACCGTGGCAGTGAGCTCTTTCCTGACAGGAAAAAAAAAAAAAGCCTTCTCTGTGGCTGGGACACAGCGTCCAGCCGCATAAGCTGATTTGCCCAAATGTTATTAGGAGGCCTTTTAAAGCTGAAGTCAGCCTCCTCCGCTGCCAGAGCACCAGGACAAGGACAGGTTTGGCCTTGCTGCAGCCATGACGGGTGAAACAGCTGTGGAACACCGCTTGTCTTCCTCTTCAGTTACTGCTTGTGCTGCTTAGCTTTGTCAACGTGACATGAACCAGGGTCACCCGCGAGGACGGACTCTCGGCTGAGGAACTGCCTCCATGAGAATAGCCAGCGGGCGTTTCTGTTGGGGGTGTTTTTATGCTTAATGGTGGATGAGGGAGGGCCCAGCCTATTGTGGATGGTGTAACTCCGCCCGCCCCCCCCCCCCCCCCCCCCGCCCCCGCACACACGTGGTTCTGGGGACTGTAGCAATAGAGAGCAAACCAGGACAGTGCTCCAGAGCACTTCCAGATCGCAGTAAGATGTCTGCCAGGGTTGACCATCAGAAGTGTTCAATCTGTAGCCGGTGCGTTACATGCTTCCAGAACAGCTACAGATGCAGACCACAAGGTCATGTCACAATGTCAAAAGAATAGAGACCCTTGGGAGATATTAAAAGCCCATGGTCTTCTGGCCTGTTAGACTCGGGGGTGGAGGGGGAGAACTTAGCTGGTTGGTATGCTCTGAAGAACTTTGTGGGTGACGTAGTGATGCATCCCTTCTCTCTCTCAGCAGGAGTTCTGTGTTGAGTGAGTACAGGAGTATGGATGTATATGTTCATGTAAAAGTTATTCCAAGTGGTGATGCACAATCACATCATTCTAGGAGAGCTCAGGACTGACTGTGCGTTTTGTGTGCTGCTGGCAGTGTGCAGCCACTGAGAAGCTTGTGATTATCCATGTACATTCCAGCCCCCGTGATATTCAGGGTTAGGGTCTTTGATGCCTTTGAAACTTCAGACTGAGGAGCTGAATTCCAGGTTATCATTTTGTTCTTTAACCCACCAACATAAGCGATTTCAAATATTTTTCCATTCAATTCTACAAGTCCATATTGGGACTAAAGAGATGAGTGAGGGGGTAAGAGTATCTATTGTTCTTGCAGAGGATGTGGGTTCAGTTCCCAACACCCACACAGCTGTTCACAACCATTTGTAGCACCAGTTCCAGGAAACCTGAGGCCCTTTTCTGGCTCCTGAGAAGGGCCGACATGCCCATGGTGCCTACACATGCAGACAGACAAAACACACATATACATAGACTGAAAAGAAATACACCTTCTAAAAAGTACACACTGAGAACCCATTGTGAGAGAAGTTGGCTCACTTTTTAAAGATTGCTGGTAATCTTAAAAAGGCTGGTCAGTAATTTACCCCTGGCTTCCAATCTATCTGGTTCTCAAACCCACCCTGTGGTTCCTAAGTAAGCGTTATACCTCCATGTTTCCATAGACAATGAGCATTGAAGAATCTTTGCCTGGTGGAGCCTATAATCTGATAGAAACAGGCAATGGACATTTTGCCAAGTCCGGAGAAGCTCAGCCAAGTTGTTGTCTGTGTCAAGGTGGATGGGTATGGATTCAGGATTCTTCTGTTTCCCAGAGAGTCTGTCTCCTCTTTCTGTCACACACCAGCCTTTGGCCACAGTTCTTGCCAAGCCAGCCAGACAGGGAAGATCCCCAGAGACACAGAGAATCTCCTGGAAGGGGGGCAGGGATGGGCAGGAGAAGTCCACCTTCCTGTCTTCTCCGGGCCTGTTCCTTCCCCTGCTGGCTCATTTGGGAGCCATGTTCTCCCACCGTCACCCCCCGTGAGGGCAGAGGCGATGAGATGAGCAGAGAAGAAATAAAAACCACAGCTACACTGTTTAATAGGCCTTGGGGTAAGAACAATAACAGTACATAAAAGATGGGAAGAGAGGTTGGAACTAATTTGTTTTCTCTTAGAAACTGTTTGCAATAAATTTAGCAGCAGGTTTTTGGTATCAGAATATATTATCTAAATTATTTTTATTTAAAACAATTTTTACTTTTTAGGTTAGCTTATAAAGTGATGGGATTGTGTGGGGCTTTCATACATATACATCATTATACCTTGTTCTTTCTCATCCCAGCCCTGACTACCCTCCTCCATTGCCCCTCTTTCTCTCTTGTTGGTCCTGTTTCTTCTCCCCAATCAGTCCCTTTTATTAGTTACCTTCCTGTTGTTGTGTAAAATAAATGACCAAAAGCAACTTAGGAAAGAAAGAGGATTTTTTGGCTTATGATTCCAGAAGAATGGAGTGTTGGGGGATATTTGATTACACCATGAACCCAGAGTTTACATTTGCATTAATTAAATAAAATTAACCTTGGGTCAGAAGGCTGAGAGAGCAACTAGTTGAAAGAGAGTAATCATAGAGCACCAGAGGGCATCCAGGAGGGATAGAGAGACACAGGAAGTAGTAGGGAGGGGTTTGGAGTAGCACAGCTTTTTGTAATTTGGTGAAGCAGAAGCACAGGTCTTCTGTGGACACCAGCAAGGAGAGAGGGTCAGCTAGTCGCTACTCAGCCTCTCTGAGCTAGCGGGTTTTCACCCCAGCCTTTGAATCTCAAGTCTTATTCATAAATAGAAAGACAGAGGTTTAGTTAAAGCTACCTTTAGCAGTGTCAACAGGGCCATGCCTGCAGGAGCAGAATTCTCACTAGGCTGCAGCCTGAGTGGCCCAGCTGCTGCTAGAGATGCAGGCTGGTAACTACGGAGTTGCAATCACTGGCTGGGATAGCAGTAGATTAAGGTGCAGCCACTGTGTCAAAGTTAAAACAACAACAGAATCCACCATGAGCAGGAAGCTGGTTGATCACATCCTCATCCACACACACAGGAAGCAGAGAGAAAGACCAGAAAGTAGGGCAAAGCTGTTGAACCTTAACGCAGTCCCCACCCCCTGTGACATACTTCCTCTTATAAGGCTCTACCTCCTAAAGGTTCCATAAACCTCCCCCAAAAAGTGTCACCAAATGAGGACCAAGTGTTCAAATACATGAACCTATGGGGACATTTCTTATTCGAGCCACAACCCTTCATGCCATATGTATTCCATGGCCCTCTCTTTCCCCTTCCTCTTTTGTCTGTGTATGCATGTGCAGAGTGTGTATGTGTGTGCAGGGTGTCTATGTGTGAAAATGTATATGCTTGTATGTGGAGACAAAGAGGTCAAGTCTTCAGTCACTTTCCACCTCATATTTTAAGAGTGTCTCTCACTGAACCTGGAGCAGACTGATTCTGCTAATGGCTGGCCAGTGAACTCTGGGGACTCATCTGTCTCCACCTCTCTAGTACTGGGATTATAGGCATGCATTACCATGCCCAGCTTTTCTTTTAAAATGCATTTTTATTTGTTTATCTTATTGAAGGAAATGTACATGCCATCGCATACGTGTGATAATCATAGGACAGTTAGGAGGAGATGGTTTTCTCCTTCTACCATGTGGGTTCCTGGGGTCAAATTCAGGTCATCAGGCTTGGCACCTTTACCTGCTGAGCCGTCTCACCAGCCTACTGGCCATTTTTTAGTTAGGTTCTGGAAATCCAAACTCAGCTCCTCATGCTTGCACTCCTTGACCAACTGAACCATCTCCCCGGCCCCTTATGTCCAGCTTTTCATATACTGCTTTAATACAATTAACTCTGAGAGAGTCCAAGTAACTGTACAACTGAAGTGACCTTGAGCAACACGTGTCACCTCTGTGGACCTTAGTCTCCTTTTCTTCACCAGGTACACACTGAACCTTCAAATTCAACAGGAAAGCAATCAAGAAATGTGTGTGCTTGTGCTGGAGTCGGTGGACTGGCCTGGACCTTAGTTGTCCGTTCACACAGGAGCTGGGTGCCACCCATTGTGTTGTCAGCTTCTCTGAGACTTAGTGTCCCTTTCTGGAAATGGGGTCCCTGACAGGGTTAGCTTGCCGAAGGCACAGGCAGTACTCAGAAGACATTTTCCTGGGATCAGAAAATACTGAGCCTTCTATGGCCACAGGCCCAGCACTCAGAGGGCAGAGCCCAAAGGACCACGCAAGTGTGAGGCTAGCCTGGTCTACAAAGTGGGTGACAGATGTCGAGTGAGACTTGTCTCAAGCAAAACAAAACAAACCAGCCAAGCAATCCCTTCTCCCAAGGCCCCAGTGTGGGAAATGAAGGAAGTCCGGAGCAAGTGAAGACTTGAGTGAACGTGCATTGTTGAAATGGGCACAGCCATGTCAAGGTCTCCAAAGCCTCCGACTCATGGGAAAACGGCAAAGGCCACTCCAGGCCATGCTCAGGGAAAGGGGAAGTGTGGATATTGACAGTGTGCACAGAAAATGTCGACCATAGCTTTCTCCCCCAAGATGTTTACAGCCGGAAGACTGCACCCCACAGAGACTGTTCCTACTGAGATTAGCTAACCCCTCACCTTGTTCAGCTGTGCACTCTAGACCCCACTTCCCTGTTTATCCTTACGTGATAGCCCCAGCATCCCATTCAACTCAGCTCTACACAATAAACAGCTCAGGGGGCTGAGGTTTCTCCACCAGTGAGGCCAGCCCACCGTTCCCTAGCTTTGCCCTGTGTCTATGGCTCTGTATGTCTGTCTGTCTTTTCTTGATTACCTCATCGTCCCCAGTCAGCTCTGTCCCTAGAGCCATGCCAGGTCTTGGTACCTCTGAACAAAACACAACCAACAACACCAGGAAAATGTAATCACGGATTTTGAAGGTGGGTGAGGAAGGAAGGAAGGAGGCCGACTTCAGAAGAACACAGGCTGAGAAGGTCTGGCCATGGGGTCAGCGGGACCTCTAGGTGGCCCTTCCCACAGAAGAGAAAATAATGTCACTGGTTGTTATCAGGACATAAACAAGTCCCCTTGACGCCAAGCATCAGTGCAGATATTGTTTAGGAAAGAAAAGAAAAGAAGAAAAACCAAATCCAACCAAATCCGTCAAACCTCAGCTTCCTGGCTTACCACTCTTCATTTTTCAATTCTTTATTAGGAAGATGGGAAAGCTTACAATTTTGACAATTGCATTTATTTCTACATTTTCACCCCAAACAATGCAATGAATGGCAATTCTGTCTACCCGGGCTTTCAAGCAGCTAGATACATGTTAGTATTAATTAAACACTTAATGGACGGTGTGCATCTGCTCCATTGCGGTCTGTACCTCTTTCTCTACCACCAACACGGCTTCTTCCCTCATTCCTTCTCGTCTCCATCTCCAGCCTCACAACGGAGCAGAGGAAATGCCGAGCAAGGGACGCAGGTGAACAGAGAGGCTGATGCTGGGATAAAGAGCCAGGTGTACGGAGAAGCACAGAATGGCTGTCCTTCCTAGATAGGTACGGGGAAGCAGGAGAGGGAGGAGGCCAGCTTCCATTTCCAGGCTCCCTCTCCCAGGTCTCTAGGGCCCAGGGGTATCCCGAGATGTTCCTGAGGTGGGAAGCTGGTGTAGAAAGAGGACGTAGACCTGAACAAAGCCAGATGCTTCAGCTCTCCTTTCCGGACTTGCTCTCAGACCTCACTCCCTCAGGGTACCCAAGCTGTGTGCATCCCACGCCCCCAGGAAGGCTGCAGGAGTTTGCTTTGCCTGAGCATGGTCAAAATATTCTGTTTGTTTAGGGTTTGCTGCTGCTTCTTCTTTTTTAAATAATTGAACTCTATTTTCAAACTAACTTTGCGTCTCTCTTCTAAGTAAACAACACAAATGAGAGGGATAGTGGAAGAAGGTAGGCGGGAAGGTACCGAGAAGGAGCGGATTTGATGCAGCAGAGGGCAAAAGGACATCGGGAAAATCTCCCGTGAACACCGAAGAACCCATTGTCTGATGAAACCACACACACGCAGCTTCTGGGCCAGCCATAGCATTTCCTGGGACAAAAAAAGGGGAGTTTTACCCAGGCTCTTGTTTGAAATTTGGGTGACCCGCTGAAGAAAGCCTTGCAATACTATCTAGGAAAAAGATACAGACCAGGGCATGGATGTGGACCTTTCTGAGGGGATGCGGAATTTAAATTGCTCATGTTGACCCAAGCTTCAGTCACCTATTAATTTACCTAATATCATTTTTTTTTTAATTGGTCTCATGGTCTCTTCTGCCTTGGTAGCTCGATCTTACACACTGGAACCGTTTTCCCTTCCTGAAACATATTATGTTGATGGTAATACTATAGAATACACACTGGAGGGGATGTAATGTATGTAGGTGCTAGCTGTTTGGGTTTCTAATGTCTCACCTTTTTAAACAGCCGTTACCTAGGCATCCCCCATGGCCCACCTTGTTTGAGAGAGGGAGTCCAGCCCATTCAAAGCCAGCAGACCTAAGAAGCTTGTGAATCTGTTACCTAATGACCTGGGTGCATAATCTCTGTGGACTTTTCTAGGTGGGAAGGAAGTGATTGCAGGGACCCACCATTTTTAAAGAACATTTTTCTGGAACGCTTAACAAAATGGGGAGAGTCCTTTGCTTCTGTCTCCAGGTTCTGCAGCCCCTGGGTAAGTTCGAAATAGAGTACAGAGTATTGGGGTCATTGTGGAGGAAGGTAGAGAGTAGGCAATGTTTCTCTAGATGTGTTTTTCTACCCAAGGCTCTGCAAAGAGGTGGTACACATTTGCACACTTTTGTTTGAATTGAGTTCATTGCTCTCCAAAGTGTGGGTGGCATTTGAAAGTTGTTCTTCTCTCTGGTCCTCTGGAATAGTTTAATTGTTTTATACTTTAGGCACAAAGATTGAAATTCTCTCTAGTAGCCACACAAGCTCTCCACCTTCTACTCCATCCAGGCCTGGTTTTGCATGACAGTCCCTAGTTAATTCAGATATATGGGAATGGATAATATACATAATATATTATAATGTATAATAGAGATTAGAAGAGAAAGATACTCAGAGAAAGCTTTCTTTAGCCCATGCTGGCCTCGAACTCAGTGTTGCTGAGGATGACCTGGAGCTTCTGACCCTCCTGCCTCCAGCTCTTGAATGCTGAGGTTACACGTGTGTGTCACCATGCCCAGTATACCGGGTGTTGGGGATTGAACCCAAGGCATTGTGCATGCCAGGCAAGTTCTCAACCAACTGAGATGCAACACCAGCCCTGGATAATACCTTTTCAAACTCTGATAAGGAAGATTGCTCTCCATAGCACAGTATGATAGCACACACAACTGAAAAATATCCCTGCACACGCCTTAATGAATTTGCATACACCCAGAAATTTTACTCCTAAGTACATTTAGATAGAATAAATACTTAGTCAGTAAATATCTGAATTTATTATAATCCTATTCCAGAACTATTCTTTTTTCTCTTAACTACTTAAAGACTTTTCCCCCTATGTGGTAGATCTAGATCTTCAATTCCAGAGGACATACTTTTGGGGAAATACTTCACTGAAGACATGTCACAGTAACTTTTATTATTCATTAGTGTGTTTCAAGTGGCTCTGAATAGAAATGCTTTTTGCTAAAGTAAAAATACATCTGTTTCTATGATCTAATTGTACAATTGGCTAGAATTTCTATCTATCAGTTCAAAGGGAAACTTGGTTTCAGTGAATTTATTTTTAATAAAAATGTGTTATCTATGATAAATATATTTCACTTTGCTCAAATAGATTTGATTGGGAAAACATATTGAGCAGAAGTACTGGTAAAGCTTAATTTCATTGCTTGGAGAAAACGTATTGAATGCTGCTTTGAATTAAATTCTATTTGTTTTAATAAAAGTGTATTGGCCTGAGTGTACATATATTTGTTTTAGTGGCAGTACATTGGATCCAATAAAACTATATTGGCTTCACTGCTTGTGTCTCCTGCTCAGTGAAAATGGATTGAGTGGGAGAATGAAGCAGGCAGGAAGCAGCCAGCCTGAGGTCTCTGTTTGGTGAGTCTCCAAAGAAACTGGAAGAAAGGGGTTTCCATAGCCTTTATACCAAAACATGCTTTCAAGTGTAAATACCTTTCACTCTGAAGGGCTTGGGTATGACACCAGATTGCCACCATAAAGAGGCAAGTTTCTGAAGTGCTCCATTCCAGGGGCAAGTTACAACTGCCCAGGGCACCAGAGGAGGAAAATCCTACGACACCCCAGAGCAGGCTTGTCAAGATCCCTTAAGCTTTGTACCAGCCTCATTGGCTCCAATCAGATGCTGTCTCCCAAGAATTCCTAAATCCCTCAAATGAACAGAAAAGGGATCATGAGTTCTCCCCAAGGATGGCCTGGCCCATCAGCCTTGAAATGGGTCTGACTTTGAACTGCTGACATGGCGGGAGGCGGTGTGTGTGTGGGGGGGACTCGAAGCAAGTGCTATCCTGAGACACTTCTCTGAGCGATTAGCCTTCCTAAAGATGGTAGCTCTTCAGAGAGGCACCGCCACCACATCGTGAGGCTCCATGTGGCCTCCAGATGCCACATGGATGTGCTTTCCATAGCAACCTGACCCCAAAGCCAGACTTGAAATAACGGCATTCACAAGACTTGTCCTTCCCAGGCTGCTGTCTCACTGTGAAGGGTGGCATGTGCTCAGAATTGTCTTTCTTCCCTGAAGATGGACTAGAGCTGACTGTTCTTCCCAGTTTCATTTAGCTTTGATGAGAAATAAATGCAAACAGCACTTTCATTAACACCTTTGCTCCAACTTAATGTGCTAACAAGCTCTGGACTTCAACCTTCCTGCTAATAACCGCTAATACTCACGGAATCTCATTACCACGGAACCCCAAGCCTTCAGTGTGTGGTTGCTCAGTTTTTGAGTGCTTGAATTCTTGTAAGTCCCTACAAGGAGACGCAAGTGAAACTTATTTATGGGCATTTTTTTCCTCGATGAAAATATTCCCAATTATCTTCTGGAAGCCAAGGAGAAAATGTTTTTGATAAAGACATTTTCTGGCTTGTCCAGGGGTTGTGGCCCTGGAGGACAGCAATTGGTTCACTTAGTCAGAGTGTAGTACGCATAAACTACAGATGTCACGTGGTGCGAGGTGGTTTCAGGAAGTTGCAGGTGAGTGAGGAAAGGAGACAAAGAAAGGAGCTGGTTAGAAGAGAACCTCAGGGCTTTGCGGTTGCTTTCTGAGAGATCTCACAGTCCAGGCTGGCCTCAGGCTTGCCGTGTGACTGAGGCTGGTCTTGAACTGCTCTTACCTCTCAAGGGTGCACCAGCACACACATAACTTGTTGTTAAATGAGTTACCATGGTGACTAGCTACAGCCTGGTCCGGCTGTGGAAGCCGGGAATGACAGAAATGGGTTTCAGAGGGTTGCTTCACCCTAGGGGTGAGAGGGCCTGGGTAGTCATACACCAACACACACTCACAGCTCACTTCCCAGCCTTACCGGCTGCGACAGGCGTTATGTCTGTGCTTCAGGAAGTCTGGCAGGGGGAAGACATAGTGAGGGCTGGCTGCCCAAACCCCACGGCAAAGAATGGAGTTGGGAGCCATGAAGCAGATATCTGTTACTCCGTGAAGGCCACTGTATAGACAAGTAAGTTAGGGTGTGGAGGGCTTACACAGTGGCACACAGTTAACAAGTGGCTTGGGCGGGATGCAGATCCAGCTCTGTCTCTCTTGGAAGACAGTGGCTTACCCACTGAGCTACACTGCCCTGGTCCTTCCTAGGAAGCTGGCACAACTTCAAGATTTCAAAATGGTGTTTGTGTGTATATGGGGGAGGGGGAATTGAGTGAGTCAGGGCTGAGGACCAAGAGTACAGCTAGGAGATGGGGACTGGCAGGAGATGCTATGTCCCCTGAGCACCAACTCTAGGAATGGCCAGGGGCTTTGTTTCATCTTAGGCTTAACTCTGTCTTAGTATTCAGGTATGTGTCACCTCCTTGCATGAGTAGGGATGATGAAGGTATGAAGAAACTATGGACACACAGACTCAGAAAGGCTGGGATCAGATAGCCTGGGCTCTCAGATGGAGAAACCACAGTGCCCTGGGAGATCAGTGTGTTTATTTTATACAAGGGAAGTAGGGTTGTTGCATACAGCTGAACAAGGAGGCAGCGTTATTACATACAGATAAACATGGAGGTGTAGCTGGAAGTTTCCTGTGTCCCGCGTAGCCACTCAGACCCAAGTAAACACACAGAGGCTTATAATTAATTAAAACTGCTCGGCCTTTAGCTCAGGCCTACCACTGACTAGCTCTTACACTTAAACTCAGTCCATTTCTGTTAATCTATATGTCGCCATGTGTTCCGTGGCTTTACCTGTGTGCTATTACATGCTGCTCCCTGGACGGTGGGCTGGCATCTCCTGACTCAGCCTTCCTCTTCCCAGGATTCTCATTGTCTGCTTATCCCGCCTATACTTCCTGCCTAGCTCCTGGCCAATCAGCGTTTTATTAAACCAGTGTACAAAAGCATTATCCCACAGCATGGAGGCAGGGTTTATGGCATACAGTTGAATAAGGAGGCAGGTGTAGCTAATCTCAGGAGGAGCCATCTCTGTAGGGGAGCAGTGTTCAGGCCGTAAACATCTGAGGATAGAAAGCTATGTGGGTATTCTCTGAGCACACTGTCAACATTTGCACTCAGACTGGATAAACTTGTGCCGTCATTCTGAGCCTCACCCAGGGGAGGCTTTGCCGTTCTCATGCGGCTAAGGCACTGGGGTCCTTGACATGGTCACGCCCTTACCAATAGCACACATTCACTCAGGATCTGCACTCGCTCCCACAGGTATGTGTTTATGAGACACTGAACTCAACTTATCCCATGGTGGATCTTTGATTAATAGCCAATCATAAATTATCTCATGATCAGGGGCTCCTGGCTCACTTGTGGCGCCTTGGGGACTCCCATCTTCCACCAGCCCCACCAGCCCCACGTTGATCAGTGAGCTCCTTTTATGGCCTCCTCAGCTGCCCCCGCCTGTGCTCGCTGCTTTGTGGAGTAAGTTATGATTACTTTGTGCTATAAAACCAAACAGCAATCCTCACAGCTGTTCTGATTCTACTTAATGAAATGGTGGTGACATCTGAATGTCACAGTAGCGGAGAGGCGGACGGGCTGTTGCGGCTGCGGAGAGGAGAAGGCTCAGTCTGATTCCCTGGGCTCATATCTCATATGACAATTCTGCAGTTAGTGCTCTGTGTCAGCCCATGGCTGCTGCCAGGCTCACCCTTCCCAGGGAGAGACTTCAGGCGTGTCAACGGCCCTTTGGCTGACACAGGGAGACAGCCAGGGTGGAGATGATGTCTGCGGTATCGTGAAGACGGAGAGAAATATTTTATCAGAATAAAGCACACAATTAACCATCACTGCCATTCAAGGGCTCCGACCCTGTGCCGACTGCAGAGAGCCAGTGGTGTGTGTCAGCTCATCAGAAACCGACGGAAGGATCTTCGGTTTCTCCTTTCTTTACCGCACACAAAGGGAAGAGAGTGGTTCTGGGAAGATAGCAGACAGCAAATGTGGAGGCAAGAAGACAGCCTGGCCCTCAATCAATTATGCGGGAGTATTACCAAATCAATGAATTCACAGCGTGAGTGCTTGCGGCAGATGGACGAACACTTGTCGGCTATCTGGAGCCGCGAGAATCAGATTTATTTTCAGAGTTTATTTGTCTCATTTCTCCTGCCTGGTGCTGGAAGGCAGAACATGCAGCTGTGATTTTTCAAATGCAAGAGATCTCCAACTATTTTATAGCATGTGAAATTGGGCTTCTCAAGCTAAACTCTGTAGGACTTCTGGCTTTTTGCTCCTCAGAATAAGGACAAAAGGTCCTCTCTCCTTTTCCCTCTCTCCCGTCTCTTCCTCTTCCACTCTCTCATTCCTGAAGATCTTAATAATAGAAGAATGAGACGGGATTCACTGGCCTCTCAGACCTGGTCAGAGGTCTGGAAGCTTCTCTCTTAGACACAGCCTATGTTAGGCTATCTATCAGTTACTATACCAAAATACCAGAGAGAACCAACTTATAAATAGAGGAGGCTTATTTTAGATCATAGTTTCAGAGGGTCCAGTGCAAAAGGGAGTGGTATTGTTGCTTTGAGTCAATGGTGAGAGCACATTCCAGGGAGAGCACCTTAGAGGAAGCTTATTAGTCTCGTGGGTGGGAACAAAAGAGACGTAAAGAGGAATTGGCTAGGGGCCCCTTTGAAGGTATGTACTGCAATGACCCAAAGACGTTTCTCCAGGCCATGCTTTTTAAAGCTGGCCATGCCTCCTAAAGCTGGCCATGCCATTATTAGCCAGTAGCACCAAGCTGGGAACCAATCTTTTTACACACAGGCCTTTTGGGGACATTTGTGATCTGCTCCAGCAAATGAGCTCTTTAGCACATGGCAGTGACACTGTGGTCATCGGGTAGTACTTTCAGCCCTCCCTGGCACCAAGCATTCTAGAATTCTTAGCTGAAAGGGAAGTTGAGATGGCGCCTCCATTTTGGCTCTTGTGGGGACATCATTTGCATTTGGGATTGGAAACCTCACAATCATCTTCAGGTTTCTCCTTGTGGGAGAAGTCAAGAGTCCTGTCGTGGGTATTGGACAAAGCAGGAGTTCTCTTAGACAGGAAGTTAACAAACAGGCTGTTGGCTTTCCCAGGGGCGTGTGACCAAGACACTTGGCGAGCAACTTCTAGGCTCTTCAGGACAGAGTGAGTTACACGTGTCCTGTGGCGGTGGCCGCTGGTCGAAGCTGAAGTGGTGTGCCCCAGTGCGTTCATTCACCCTTATGGTCACCTACGTGTTCAGTCAGCTGGCCTGCAAGTGTTGACTGGTCAGAGGCCTTCATCCTTACTCCACAGAGACCAATTCAATCAGATGTTCTGGGAGATTCTATTATCCATTCAAAATGAGTCTCTGTGTCAGGTCCTGAGTATACGATGGTACATAGACCTTCATCCCTGTCTTCATGGTCCAGGGTGTGACAAGTGCCGTGATAGAAATAAGCTCAGAGAGAGGCGAATCCCGACCTAGACATAGCAAGGAGGTAGAGACCTCACCGTGACTGGCTGGAGAGGCTGACACTGAGTTGACTCCTCAGTAGCGAGGTTTATGAATTACAGCTTCACAGGATGGAGAGGGTAACCCGTGCAGAGTCCTGAGGAGTCTGCCAGGAGCGAAAATAGCCGGTGTGTGCATTGCAGGTCAGAGAAAGGTGTGGGCCACAGAGCGAGAGGTGAGCTGGGCCTGACAATCCACGATGGATGTGAGGGGCCACACGACGGAGGTCAGCTTATGTCTGCAGGAAAGCCCTGTGAGGGCTCCCCCCCGCCCCCCCACCCCCCGCCAAGATCAGACTGCAGTTTCAACCCTGCAGCTACAGGGGGCCAGTGGGGGTGGGGCGGGGCGGCTCTGGACATTTACTCGATAAACCAACCAACTGAAAGCAAGGCTGGCTATCTTTTCTGGTTAGTGCCGAGACCTGGCTCCTGTGGAGGAAAAGACAGACAGCAACATTTTCTTGATTTAAAAAAAAAAAAAAAAAGCCATAAAATTCCCATTGGGTTGTTTAGGGCGAGCAAGTTCTAGAAATGGAATGACTGAATTTGAAATGGGAAAATCGAGATACCTATCCATCTACCTGTGGTTCTTATTTGGGATTTTTTTTCTTGAGTGATGGGGTGCAGTAGGTTCTGCAGCACAGAGCTGATAAGACAACACTTCGGAAGGGTCATGACAGCCCTGCCTCTGGCATCAGAGGGATCTGAATTGAACTCTCCGCTGTGCCCTGAGTGGCCACCTTCATCTGGTTATTTCACCTCTCCACACATTGGGTTCTTCATCTGAAGAACAGGATGGCAGCAGCGCTTCACACCCAGGGGACACCACAGACGAGGAATAAACCCAGGTACACGTGTAAACAGCCAGGAGCAGAGCCCAGCACACCAGGGGCCTCAGAAATAAACGGCAGGAGGAATCCAAGAGCAAACGACCAAAACCAAATGACTCAGAAGAGAAGCGACGTCCCCAGGTGGCCCCTGATTCTTTTGATTTGCGTCTATTCTGGCATGATGCAGCAAGTTTTGATGATTCATTTTGTAGCAAATAGGGAAGGGTTGTGTGGGCTGAGTAACTTCCACAGCATCCGAACCTCTGTGTAGAACCTGAGGAACTTAGGTTTCTATTCCAGGTCGCTGAGCCAAACCTGACTTGCAAAACGTCCGGCCTCTGCTGGGGCGAGAGAGGCAGGCGAGAATTTGGCTCCCTCGCTTCTGATATCTCCAGTAACCCATCAGGCACGGAGCTGAAGGATGTGCACTGCACTCCCCTTTCCCCTTTAATGTGCCATTAAATCAAATACTCTATTAGCAGAATTAGTTCATTCGGTGTCTGCAACGAAACATGCCGTGAATTGTGCGATGTCTCTCGCAAATGGCCCTGCACTCTGGGGCCTACTTCAGCAGTTTATATCCTGTGGAGGAGGGCCGAGCTGCCCAAGGATGCCACTGCCTTCCTCTAAGTGAAATATTATGGCTTCCACAAAGGATAATTATTTGGATCCTTCTGCCATGTGCAAGCCTGGTGAATTCCAAACACTGTGGATCAGGCTCTGGCCCAAGGCCTGCTGTCCTCACACCTGCAGCCCGGGACTTGCCTTGGCCACGGACTCCTAACCTTCTTGGCGTCTCTGCTCTCTGCATTAGGTCCAGTTCAGAAACCAGGACCAGAAAGAGACGCTGCTTTTTGAGAGTTGAAACATGGAGAAATCCCCTCCCTTAATTCAGGACGGGGCTGTTGGTGGAAACCCAGTTATCGTCGTGTTCACTCACTCATCACCCAGACCGCGGGGAAGCCGGCTACGACAACTTGCTGTACCTCTGTTGTGGTACTCTCACCACTGAAAATGAGCCAGGACCTCAGATACGGGAAGTCACATTCGGGCATGCTGAGAACCAGCATGGCTAGCTGACTGCCAGGGCTCTGGCTGCTGCTGGGGCATGCAGGCCACCTTTCCTCCATGCCCAGGTCCATTTAACCAGGTGAATCACTTCATTATGTTCTCTTCTTCTAGAGTCAGCGTATTGGAGACCATTGGCTTTCGTATCCGGTGAATCTTAAATCGACGTGCTGGCCGATATTCAACCTTTTCTGTGGAGAGGAACGCAGTGTGCAGTGCTTGCCAATTTCCAGGGTGTAAATGCTGCCCTGTCGTTGACCTCAAGCTACCAGCATGGCGTTACTGAATGCGACGTTGGAAAGAAGTGTTTGTTAATGCCCACAATACACCATAGTTCCCTGAATGTGACCTTAAGGGAAGTACTTAATAAAGTAAAATCCAACAAAATGATCGGAATGATACAAGTTCTAGATCATGAATACTTTCAAAACTGTAATAATGAGTGTGTTTAACAACAAGGATGTCTGCAACATCCTTCAAATTCAGCAGTCAGGTCTCCTAGGTTAACAGAACCCAGGCCTTGCACACCGCTCAGTTTTAAGAGTATAACATGCAAGTTCTCCATTATAACCCAGTCACAGTCCAGTAGCGGACGTGAGGCCGCATCAGGGTTCCACATGGTGGGTTAGGGACCCTGGTACCCTCTGTCTTGAATCTTCATTTCCTCTTAGGGATCTCAGCGTCATTCACTTCTAGCCAAGAAGGTGACTTTAATTAACCAGGCTTGGCCATGTTCCAAAGGCTGAGATTCTGTCACATGGCCAAACCTAACTGCAAGGGGAGGTTAGGAAAGTTTAACTTAGCTGTGCACCCGAGAAAGGAAGAAAGCGAGGTCTGTGAGCATCTTGTCCCTTTCTACCACAGCACATCCATGACTGACGCCATCGCTGGCTGCTGTTGGGAAGGATGCAGTCGGCTTATCTTACTGGACTAAATAGGAAGGGTTATGTGTATAAACAGTGAAATTTATTTTGCTGATATAGTGTGTACCCTAACAAAATTTGCCTGAAGATCAGAGAACAGAATAAGCCACTAGATTAAACACAGAGGCCAGGCCGTGGTGGCATACACCTTTAATCCTAGCACTTGGGATCCAGACGGATCTCTGTGAGGTCAAAGCCACCCTGGACTACATGAGATTGACTCAGTCTAGGAGAGAAAACAGAGCCAGACAGTGGTGGCACACACCTTTAATCCCAGTACTGGGAATCACAGGCCTTTAATCCCAGGAAGAGATGGCTGGGTAAAGAAAGGTGTATAAGGCATGAGGAGATGGGAACTAAAGGCTTTTCGGCAGAAGCGTACCTTTCAGCTAGAGACTTTTTCAGCTGGAGCCTTTCGGGTGAGGGCTCAGAGGATTTCAGTCAGAGGATTTGTGGAATTGGTGAGGTGAGACGTGGCAGTGGCTTGTTCCTTTGTCTCTCTGATCTTCAGGCAAATTTTATTAGGGTACACAATATATCATCACAATTTATTATTATAAAGTTATCAATTAATAAGTATAATTACAGGGCTAGAGAGATGGCTCAGAGGTTGAGAGCACTGGCTGCTCTTCCAGAGGTCCTGAGTTCAATTCTCAGCAACCACATGGTGGCTTACAACCATCTATAATGAGATCCGGTGCCCTCTTCTGGCATGCAGGCAGAACACTGTATAGATAACAAACAAATCTTTAAAGAAAAATAAGTATAATTACACAGTTGAAATGCTATTTATTATTGTTCAGATATAGGAGCAATGCCTGCTGGGGACAGAATGCTCTACACCATCTAGTTTTTCTAAGTTTAATGATTCATCCATCCTTCCATTCCTCCAGCTATACACCCAATAAACCTATATTCTAGTTCTATGCTAACTTCTAGGGATATGGAGATGTTTAGGAGGTATTTGTTGGGGGAAGGCAGAGTCAGAGAGGTCAAAATCAAGGAAAAAACAGCAGGGCACCCTGGGAGTTAAAGAGCTTCCTGAGGAGCAGGCATTTAATGTGGCTCTAGATCAGTAGTTCTCAACTTGTGGGTTGAGACCCCCTTGGACGTCGAATGACCCTTTCACAGGGATCACATATCAGATATTTACATTATGATCCATAACAGTTGCAAAATTACACGATGAAGTAGCCACAGACATAATTTTATGGTTGGGAGTTACCGCTATGTGAGGAACTGTATTAAAGGGCTGCAGCATTAGGAAGGTTGAGAACCATTGCTGTAGATGAATGGGCGGATCGAATTTTCTAGGTATACAAAAGGCAGGCGTTCCTGGTGGTCAGCTTGTGTGAAGTCCAAAGGCTTGTTCTAAGAATAGCAAGAAGCTCAGCCAGGAGAGAGACTGGGCTGGACATAAGGGTTTTTGTCAAATTATAAAGGACTTTCCCTGTAATGCAGAGGGGTTTGTAGTGTGTCACAGGCTCTTGCTTCTCAGAGTCGGGACATGTAACCTGCTAAGAGGTACAGAAACACAAACAAAACCTTCTCCATTTCCTCCTTTGATGGTAAGCAACTAGAAATGATATTTGAAAAGTCCTAGAAAAGAAGGCTTTTCCCATCTCCATGGATCAATGGCTCGTCCTGGAAGCAATCCTGTGGTTGGTGTAATGTGACACTCTGATCGGCTTGTATCAGGTCACAGCCCTCTCTCTTGGCCTTGGAGGTAGGAGTCTGCCCAAAGCTCAGGGGCTAGGAATGGAAAAGGGCAGTTCCCTAGAGGAAATCCAGACACAGGGCTGGAGATGGAGAAATGGCGGCTGGTGGCCCCAGCCGCCATTGACTGCTACAGACAGGAAGGAGTAGGTGGGCAGCTATTCCAAGAGCCTTCCTTTACACTTGAGCGTGAACTGCGGGTGAAAGAGGCAACAGCCATTTTATTTTGGTTTTCAGTTTTTGAATTAATGGGAGAATCCACGAAATGAAGACGATTGCTTCTACTAGACAGGGCCAGGTAGGAAGCTAGGGGTGGCCAACCCTCACCTGCAGTCGGATGTGTGAGCGAACCTGCTCCCCACCCCCCACTTCCTCTGGGGCTCCTGACTCCGGGTGGCATCTGGGCAGAGCTAGTGGCTTCCCTGTGGCTGCTATGACCGTGCCAAGTCATGAACCCACAGATCTGAGCCAGGAAGGCTTTGCCTCACGGCAGATAAGCCAGGCTGGTAACATAAATACCCTATAGCTCACATCCTGCCTGACAGATGGCCCGGAACCACAAAGCTTGGCGCAATCCCTGCGGTCGTGTTCCTGGGCGGTGGCTGTAGCCCAGCCGTCGCTGCCGTCCACGGACCCTGAGCCTCTGGGGTAGACATGATTTACACAGGCCCTGTATGGTGGGTGTTATAGGGAGAGCCAGACCTGGAGGTCACGCCCACCATGTCAGAACGCCAGCTCTGCATTCAGAGCTGTGGGTCTGGGGCAAATGGGTTGAAGCCCTCAAGCCTTAGCTCTCTTACTGTAGATGATGATGCCCGTTCTTCAGGACTGTGATGACTCAGCAAGATAACCCGAGGGGAAGCAACTGGCATGGGGTGTGGCATGAGGCAGGTGCTCAGGAAAGCCAGCTTACTCCATAGGAAGAGGGTGACCCCCAAGCCGTTTAATACTCAGGTTCTTCCGCACACAGCATCTCACTTAGTCCCCCATGAGCATCTCAGGTGAGTCTTTGTCTTCATGCTATTCTCACCGTAGTGATGAGGAGAGACAAGGCAAGGCTGTGGTTGCCCAGGGGTTTGTGGGTGGTGAGCAGATAACTGAGATGTGAACCTATGCAGCTGGGGCCAGAGAAAGCCAAGAGAAAAGGGCTTCTTCACAGTGGCAGAACACCTGGGGAAGTCTGGGAAACAGAGCAGCTGACATCCTTGCCCAGCAGCCCCTCGGGCCATCAACAACCACCCCTCATATCTAGTCTGAATTGCTGCCAGGGTCGAGCATGGGAAGAGTATAAACCGTGCACAGCATCCATTCAAGACTTACAGCCACTGTCCAGGTTTAGAGCCTTCATCTTTCAGGATAAAAGCGCTACTGTACATGCCTCCAAACCATGGAGCGAACAAAATAGCTCCATCAGAAAGGCCCCGTTAAGAATGGCGTTGTAAAAATGTCCGATGGGAAAACCTTCCTAATGGTAACCCCCACGACCGACCTTCCTTTCCTCTCATCCCACGTCAGAAGCAGTCCTGAAGCCACACCGGAAAGTCCTGAAGACCGAGCAGGGAGAATGTGGGTGCTTGCTCCTCAGAGGGGGCACTGCATTTGTTGTGAGAAGCCCCTCGTGCATTCAGAGCTGGGTGAGGAGACGTTCGAGAAGGCCGTCGCGAGGAATATCAGGTTTGGCCATGCCATGGTGTCCAGTAACCCCCTCGCTGCCCCCAGAGGCAAAGCCAAGGGGACAGCAAAGCCTTACCACCAAGGACCCACCTGACAGCTTCCTTCAGCTGTAGTGATAAATTGCTACATGGGCCGAACTAAAAATTAAAATAACAATAACAGTTAATATTTATGTAGCATGTACAGTGGCTCCAGAAAAATATTCTTTTAAGGTCACAAGGTACCTTGATCACTACATTGTCACGGTCTACAGCAGTTCCAGCTAACATTTATTGAATAATTACTGTGGTTAGTTTAGCCCATTATCACATTCATCTTCAAAATGTCTCCACCATGCTTTCAGGCAGGCACTTTTCTTGTTCCCATTGCTCAGATGTTGAAGCAGGTTTACGAAGTTAGAGGCCGAGCTAAGTGGCAAATTCCAGGGCTGGAGTTCTAAACCCTGCAGCTGCTGTCTCTCCGGAGAAGTAGCCATTCTTTCATTTTTCTTAAACTCCTAAATGGTCACCTTAAAGGCATGTGTCACATGAGAGTTTTCCTCTCGCGCCCATGCCCGCACTTACCTATTTGCATAGCGTGTGGATGTCAACTGTGGACCGAGCATCTTTAGACTCACAGCTTTGCCCAACCCGTGATGAGATCCCTGCAGATCTCAGTTTCCCTTTTAGGAACTCACCTGAGTCTTGAGCTCCTGTAAGAAGCCTCGCTGTCCTTGAGCAGGGCAAGCGGGAGAGGTGGGCATTCATTTGTGACCATTGATCCTAGAGAGGAAGGCTGGCAAGGCTGAGGACTGATGTGACATCAAGCATGCATGAGAGGCCTAAGACATTTCTGTGATTGTTCGGGGACAGCAAGACTGGAAGGGACCGGTGTTGCTGTGCACCAGACCAGAGGGCCTAGGCAGGGCTCTCTCCTGAATCTGTGCATGTGTTGTACATGTGTGTCACTGCCTCTGTCAGGACAAGACTTTGCTGAAGTCTTGGATAACTGTCACTTATCACTCACATCTCGACACCCCCCCCCCCACACACACCCCTAGTGCCTTGGATCAGAGGGAGAGCCTTGAGAAAACTCTCTCCCCAGTTCTGTGTTAAAAACAACAGGGCTGGGGAAATGGTCCCGCAGGTAAAGTGTTTTGGTACAAACATTAGGACTGGAGTTTGCATTCTCAGAACCTAAGGAAATGCTGGGTGGGTGTGGTGGCCCACCTGTACTGCCAGCTCTCGGAAGGCAGAGGCAGGGGATCCGCAGGGGCAAGCTGGCCAGGTAGATAGACTAGCCCAGTGAGAGACACCGCCTCCATATGTAAAGTAAACACAGGCTGAAAGAGACGCCTGACAAAATCTGCTCCACACAAATGAACACACCTGTGCATGCACACCCAGACCCACCTGTGTACCTCACATGGGAACACACATACACGCACACAAACAACAACCCACAAACAAAAACCTCGTTTTAATTGACAGACAGAAATTGTATATTTACTATGTACAAGCTACTTAAAAATCTGTATACTTTCTGAAATGACTATA